TTCTTTTATTTCCCTACAAATTTCTCCCTGTAAGGTTTATTTTCCTTCGAAACTAAGTTGACTCTCACTAAGCTGGTGTTTCACTATTGAAGTGATTTGTATTCACCAATGGGTTTCTCTTGACTGTACACCTAGCAATAGGTTTTAAGGAAAGCACAGATTAGCTGTAATGGAGATTGCTGAATAGTTTTTCAAAATGGTTGTACAAATTTACATTCCCACCAGTAAGTATGAGTGTACAAGTTGCTCAATCTCCTTGTCAACACTTTGTCATGTTGACCTCTTAATTTTAGTCATTCCAGGGGTGTGCAATAATCTTTCATTGTGATTTTAACTGGCATCTCGTGGTGCAGTACTGATGTTAAGTAACTTTTAGATGCTCTTTGGCCATTTGGATAGCCTCTTTGGTAAAACAAAGTACCTGTTAAGGTCCTTTGCTCATTTAAAAATTGGATCATTCTTTTCTATTTGTAGAACCTCTCTCTACATGTTCTGGACACTAATGCCATGAGATATATAGATATATATAGACATAGATATAGATACAGATATAGATATATACATATATATATAGGACAGCTGTTAGTCTATGGTTTGCCTCTTTGCTCTCTTAATTGTATCTTTTGATGAAGAAAAGATACATTAATTTTAATGTAGTCCAATTGATCAACCTGATTTTTAATGATTAGTGCCTTTTGTGCCCTATTTAAGAAATCTTTGCCCTGGCCGGTTTGGCTCAGCGGTTAGAGCGTCGGCCTGCGGTCTGGAGAGACCTGGGTTCGGTTCCCGCTAAGGGCACGTACTTCGGTTGCAGTTTGTCCCCGGCCCTGGTTGGTCGTGCGGGTGGCAGCCACTCGATGTGTCCCTTCACGTCGATGTTTCTCTCTCTCTCTCCCTTCCTCTCTCTCCCTCCCACTCTATCTGTACAAAAAATGGAAAAATACTCTCGGGTGAGGATAAAAAATTAAAATAATAAATATAAATAAATAAATAAATAAATAAATAAATAAATAAATAAATAAATAAATGTAAGAGCTAAAACTATAAAAAATAACAAAAAGAAAGAAATCTTTGATTACCCCTAAAATCATGAAAATGTTCTCCTATGTTTTCATCTAGGAACTTCATTGTTTTACTTTTCACATTAAGACCTATAATCTATTTTGAATTAATTTTTGTGTGTAGTGTTAAGGAGGGCTCAAAGTTCATTTTTCACATACAGGTATACAATTCATCTAGGACCAGTCATTAAAAGGACCATTGTTTCCTCCACTGAATTGCAGCAGTACCTTTGTCATTAAGTAATTGTACATGTGGGTCTGTTTTGGGCTCTTAATTCTGTTCCATGGATCTATTCAAATATCTCTATGCTAATACCATACTGTCTTGATTACTATAGCTTTGTAATAAATCATGATATCTGCTAGCATAAATCTTCCAATGTTATCCTTCAAGATTATCCTGACTATTCTAGATTTTTTTCCTTTGCCATATAAATTTTATAATCAGGTTGCCAATTCTCTCTCTCTCTCTCTCTCTCTCTCTCTCTCTTCTCTCTCTTCTCTCTCTCTCTCTCTCTCTCACACACACACACACACACACTCACCCTACTGGCATTTGACTGAAATTCCATTAAATCCATAGACCATTTGGGGATAGAACTGACATGTTGCCAATACTGAGATCTGATATATGCATCTACTGTTTAGGTCTTTAGTTTCTCTCAACAATGTTTTGTCATTTACAATGTAAGAAAAAAAATTTTTTAATAAAATATATCTTTTTACTTGGCAAATAAATAAAACAATTTGATTCACAATGGCATCAAAATGAATAAAACACATGAAAATAAATGTAACCCTATAAGTGCAATACTTTTATTATGAAAGCTACAAGACTTGAACATAAGATCTGAAACCATAGAACTCCTAGAAGAAACCATAAGGTAAAATCTCCTTGACAATGGAAAATGTTTTTCGGGATATGACACCAAAAGTACAAGCAACAAAATCAAAATAAACAAGTGAGACTATATCAACCTAAAAAGCTTCTCACAGCAAAGGAAACCATTAACAAAGTAAAAAGGCAACCTATTGAATGGGAGAAAGTATTTGCAAATCATTTATCTGATAAGAGGTTAATATCCAAAATATATAAAGAACTCATACAACTCAATAGAAAAAAATCATATTAAAAAATGGGCAGAGAAGCTAAATAGATGTTTTTTACAATGGAGATATGCAGTGGCCAACAGATACATGAAAGGATGCTCAACATCACTACCAGGGAAAGGCAAATCAAAACTACAATGACATATCACCTGTTAGAATGCCTATCATCAGAAAGACAAGAGAACAAGGGTTGGTGAGGATGTGGATAAAAGGTAACCCTTGTGCATTGTTGGTAGGAATGTAAACTGTTGCAGCCACTATGGCAAACTATGGTGTTTCCTTAAAAAATTAAAAATTGAACTACCGTATGACCCAGCAATCCCACTTCTGGTCATATATCCAAAGGGAACAAAATCACTGTCTTAAAAAGATATGTGCCACCCCTGTGTTCATTGCAGGATTATTTATAGTAGCCAAGACATGGAAACAACCCAAGTGTCCATAGATAAATGTGATGGGTAATTTTTCAGCCATAGAAAAAAAGAAGGAAATCCTGCCATTTACAACAACAGGGATAAACCTTGAAGGCATTATGCTAGGGAAATAAGTCAGACAGAGAAGGACAAATACTGTATGATTTCACTTATGTGTGGAATATTTTTAAAATTTTCTTTTTAAAAACGAATGGATAGCCCTGGCCGGTTTGGCTCAGCGGTTGGAGTATCGGCCTGTGGACCAGAGAGTCCCGGGTTCGGTTCCCACTAGGGGCATGTACAAAACAAAAACAAAAACGAATGAATACAGAAAACAGATTGGTGATTGCCAGAGGCAGAGGTTGGGGAATGAACAAAATGGGTGAGGATGGTCAAAAGGTACAAACTTCCACTTAAAGATAAATAAGTTCTAAGGAAGTAATGTGTCACATGGTGACTCTAGTTATCAATACTGCCTGTATGTTTGAAATTTGCTAAGAGTAGATCTTAAAAGTTCTCATCAGAAGAAAATTTAATATGTGAGGTCAGGGGTGTTAACTAAACTTCTTGTGGTAATTATTTGGCTATATATCAAATCATTATGATATACACCTAAAACTAATGCAGTGTTATATGTCAGTTATATCTGAATAAAACTGGGGGAAAAATCACTATAATCCAATATAAATATGAGAAGAATTTAAATAAATCGAATGCTAAAAATAGAAAATGTTCAACCCATCCATGAGACAGGAGGAATTCTGCTATTGATATATTTTAGCTAAAATCTATGTCAATATTTACTTGTAGAATATCGTGTTGGAAAATATTCTTGGTGACTTAGACTGAAAGTGTATTAACTTTTAAACAGAAAATCATAAATTTTTAACACTGAAAGAGAAAGGACAGTTTATATGAATAAATGTAATAGTATTCAGGCTTTAAAGAGGAGATCCTGCCCATCCGGTGTGGCTCAGTGGTTGAGCATGGACCCATGCACCAAGAGGTCTCCGGTTCCATTCCTGGTCAGGGCACATGCCCAGGTTGTGGGCCAGATCCCCACTGGAGGACATTCAGGGGGCAACCAATTGATGTTCTCTCTCATCAATGTTTCTATCTCTCTCTCTAAAATCAATAAAGAAAAAAATATTTTTAAATAAAAATAAAAAGGAGATTCTGTCATTTGCAACAATAGGATGAAACTGAAGGACATTATGCTGTGAAATAAACCAGACACAGAAAGAAAGAGGAAAAAAAAAAAAAAAAGCCTGCATTATCTCACTTATGCGTGGAATCTTAAAAAAAAAAAAAAAAGATATAGATAGATTGATAGATTGATTAACTACATAGTAGCAGAGAGTAGACTGGTTAACCAGAGTCGGGGAGGTGGGGAAAATGGGAAGATGATGGTCAAAGTGTACAAAGTTGCCCTTAAGTAGGCTGGATAAGTCCAGAGATATAACCTACAGCCTGACGACTATCGTGAACACTGTACTGAATACTGGAAATTTTCTAAGAGTGGATTTCAGATGCTCTCACCATATAGATAAAAAGGTGACTATATGAGATATGTTCATTAGCTTGATTGTAGTAATCATTTCACTGTGTATTATCAAATCGTGTTGTAAACCTTAAAGTACATCTTAAAGACACACTATATTTTTTAAATAAAATTGCATGTCATCATTTAATAAATGTGTATGTAACTTGGCAATGTTCCTTAACCCCTTCTAAGCTTCGATTTACTCACTTGAAAATCGGGTTGTTTACTATTCAGGTCATTGTGAGGATTGAGCTAATGCACAGGCTCCCTGTTCTAGTTTCCTCGAGCTTTGGAACGCTGATTATAAATTCTAAAGTCTGAGATTACGGGAAAAGCAGGCGTGAGAAAGGAACTTCCAAGTGTTAAAAGCACTAACTGGGAGTCAGGATATTGCCCAATAGGAACGGACTACCATGTGGCTTGGCAGCACTGGGACATCACATAACTTCTCCAAGTCTCACATTCCTCCTCTGTACAGCTGTCATTCGCCCTGCCTTCGTTCTCGGGGAATCGGGGGAAGCCTACGCGGGCTAACTGATTCCTGCCTCTGCTTCCCGGGTCCCCGCCCTGGCCTGAAACCACCAGGCGCACCGCGCTCCTCCAGCCAGGCGTCCTGGGGGGGCGGCCGCGAGATGGCCGCTCGCTCCCACGCGACCTCACTCGTACAACTTCGCAGCACTGAACCCAATTGAAACAGAACAGAACACCAGAGCCCTAGGTTGCCCTCCCTTTCTCTCGTTCGGGGGACCCCTGCTCGGCTTTATTAAAAGAGCAGTTTCTCAAAGCTCGTTAGGCAGTGACGGCCGAGGGCGGAGGTTCTCGCGAGATCGCCGCCGGAAGTGGATGGCAGCGGAGACCCCGCGACTCCCCTCACCGGAAGGCGAGCGCTTCGCTGGAGCTGTTGCAGCCGTTTGCCCCAGGGCGCTCTCCGAGGCGGCTCCCCCCACCGCGCCCTCCGCAGCCCGAGCTCGCGCCTTCGGCTTGCCGACCGCACAGCTGCGCGGCCCAGCCCGCCGAGCCCCGCCACGCCCGGCCGCTCCCTCCCTCCGCACTGCAGTTAGGCCGCGCCCTGAGGCCCAGTCCGCGGCGACTCCGGCGGGCGATGCCAAATACAGCCATGAAGAAAAAGGTGCTGCTGATGGGGAAGAGTGGGTCGGGAAAGACCAGCATGAGGTCGATTATCTTTGCAAATTATATTGCTCGCGACACCCGGCGCCTGGGCGCCACCATTGATGTGGAGCACTCCCACGTCCGGTTCCTGGGCAACCTGGTGCTGAACCTGTGGGACTGTGGCGGTCAGGACACCTTCATGGAAAATTACTTCACTAGCCAGCGGGACAACATCTTCCGGAACGTCGAGGTGTTGATTTACGTGTTTGACGTGGAGAGCCGCGAACTGGAAAAGGACATGCATTACTACCAGTCGTGTCTGGAGGCCATCCTCCAGAACTCGCCCGATGCCAAAATCTTCTGCCTGGTGCACAAAATGGATCTGGTTCAGGAGGATCAGCGTGACCTGATTTTTAAAGAGCGAGAGGAAGACCTGAGGCGTTTGTCTCGACCACTGGAGTGCGCTTGTTTTCGAACATCCATCTGGGATGAAACGCTCTACAAAGCCTGGTCCAGTATTGTCTATCAGCTGATTCCCAATGTCCAGCAGCTGGAGATGAACCTAAGGAACTTTGCCCAAATTATTGAGGCCGATGAAGTGCTGCTGTTCGAGAGAGCCACGTTCTTGGTCATTTCCCATTACCAATGCAAAGAGCAGCGCGACGTCCACCGATTTGAGAAGATCAGCAACATCATTAAGCAGTTCAAGCTGAGCTGCAGTAAATTGGCCGCTTCTTTCCAGAGCATGGAGGTTAGGAATTCTAACTTCGCGGCTTTCATCGACATCTTCACATCGAACACGTACGTGATGGTGGTGATGTCGGATCCGTCGATCCCGTCAGCAGCTACTCTGATCAATATTCGCAATGCCAGGAAACACTTTGAGAAGCTGGAGAGAGTGGATGGTCCCAAGCACAGCCTCCTTATGCGTTGAATATTGCCAAATGCCCTTTCTGAAAATGCTGAATTGCCTCCCCCCCCCCCCCCCCGCGCATCCTTTTAGTATTCATGTCGTGTGCTTAAACGTGGGCTTTGAAATGTGTGCTGCTTACTACTTCCACCTCTTTCTTTCCTAAGCCCCATTCTTTAAACCTTGAACGCTATTTACTGTTCTATGGTTGAGCTTCAAGATGGCCTTTCTGAAAAGTTGGTATGGTATAACACTAAAGTAGGTGAGGTGTGTGTGTGTGTGTGTGTGTGTTTGTGTGTTGATTACCTGGTTATAATAGATAAACACATCAAAGCCTTTACAATATCTTCCTGTATTCCTTACAAGATTGCAAAGATGGAATGTTACTATTTTATGAGCAAGGTATTAAAGTGCATTTATAAATTCTTCTTGGCTTCAATCATGAATAAACATTTGCTGTTAGCAATTTAAAATACGGTCTTATTTGAAATAATTTGAAGGTGGTTAATATGTAAATCTAAAGATTCTGACTGCCCACAAGTATTGCCTAACTGGTAAATTTGATTTTGTGATCTTAGCCCCCGTGACCTTAGGGATGTTTCACCGCAGCTTTAACAGAGTGGTTGAATATTGGCTTTGATGCTAGACCACCTGAGCTAAGTTAGTATTCTCGCCGCTTCACTTACTAGCTCTGTGAACTGGGCAAGGTACTTAATTTGTTTGTTTGTTTGTTTCCCCCCTCAATTATAAAATGTGGATAAGAATAGCACTACAAAATAGGATTGTTAAAATGATTCAAATAAAACATGGAAAGCATTTAGAGGTGTCTGGCACATACTCAGGACTGTGTGTCAGCTAACAATACCACCTGCTGAGCGATCCCCCCCCCCACACACACACACACACTCCAATATTACTGGGCATGGAGCCTAGCTAAATATTTGAGCCCTTACTAAATGTCATGTATTCTTAAATATTTGATGTGCATTTTCTTATTAATCCTCACAACCTATGAGGTAAATTTATCCCTTCATTGATGAGAACACTGGTATGGCTTAATACAGCTGAACCTAAGCAATATGATTACAGATCCTCCCCCTTTCCTATTACACCCCACTACTTATTCTACTGACAGAAAAGTTAATCATAAAAATACTAGATGTTTAAGTGTACATTATTACTTTATATAATTCCCCTAGTTTTACAGATAAAGGAAAATTAAATCCAGGAAGTTAAGTGACTTCTTTGAATAGTGCTTCACTCACTTTGGGCAAGATCATTTTCCCATCTGTATTCATCTGGAAATTGGATAACAGTGAATCAGATTCTTAGATTAACTACTTTGAGGAAAGGATAAGATTCCTAATTTGGGTTCACAATGTGGTATAGTGAAATCAGAACAGACCTAAAATGTCCCTTTCCAACTGCCTTATTAAATGCAATCTACAGTTCAGAGCCAAGAAACCTCTCATCAACTCCCACCTCTCTTCTTACAAATGAGACAGCTCTACATTTAGATTTAATATAAGCAGGACTTTAGAATTTCCAAGGTTTTATAAAGTTAATATTTTGTAAACCCTTTATAGCAGCAGCTATGGATGACAAGGTCCCTGCCTGTTAGAAAGAAGAGGCTACACAGATGTTTAAGTAACTAAACTCATCTACTTGGAGCCTTTGGCAATAAGTTAGTATAGACTGCAGGTGAAAAAGCTCTGAAGGTATAGATGTACTTTTTAAAGTACATTTAGTGACTCTAGTAATTAAAATGGTGGTAACAAAATGCTCTTATCTGAATCACTGTATCTCACAAATTTCTATTGATCAAGTCACTGCTGTATGTGTGATCATTTTATGATTCGAAGGGCATGGTTCTTTTTGATACATAGGAAATTCCAAAGCCAGGTGGTATAATGTGTTTATTTAAGACGAGTATGTAGAACACATTTACAAATAGTCCCATAAAGGACTCATTTAACATTCACAGTGCATAGGGAGAAAGAGCGACCATGTATCTGCAACATAATGCGAAAGAGAATTTTACTTCAGCAAATACTTTCCTTACATTGAGGACAATGTCCTTAAATGTTTTATTTTCTTTAATTTTGGTATACTCAGAATAGGAAACAAATAGGGTTTCCTTTTACACAGGTCTCAAGAATTCTGTTTTTTCCTTTAGATAAAGTTGACTTGCCCTGGCTTGGTAGCTCAGTTGGTTAGGGTGTCATCCTGGTAAGTCAAGGTTGTGGGTGTGATTCCCAGTCAGGGCACATATAAGAATAAACCAATGAATGCATAAATAAGTGGAATAACAAATGGATGTTTCTCTTTCCCTCCCTCCCTCCTGCTAAAAAAAATAGACCATAGTTAAGAAACACATGGTACAGAATGGTTTCAAAATACTTGTATTTTTGTCTTCAGTTAATGATCTTCAATTTTCTTTAACCTCAAATATTCTTTATTCCACTTAATAACATTTTTCATGTTAAGTAACATTACATGCTTGTCCTCGTTAAACATTTAAAATAATTAGGACATTTTGGCATTATCTGAAGTTTCAAGTTGACACTGAAGCCAGTAAATAAAACAAGATACAGTATGTGTAACCTATGAATGTAATGAGAAAAAGTACATTTACAGCAGTAAAGTACCCTTTACCATTAATTCCATCACAGAAGAGGCAAAGAAAATCCCAATACTTCAATATTTGCCTTGGTATATGGGTAGACACACACATACCCCTATACACATTTACATAGGCGTATACATATGTCTGTAAGTATATAATCGGTATAACTGGAGAGAACACACACAACCATGAAAAACTATGATAAAAGCAATAAATGAATACTAAATGAATAAAATTAAGATAAACCATAGATTTCAGAGAAGGGTTAGGCCCATGGACATGGAAAGGGGAGATTAAGACTTCAAGGTGCAAGTGACATATGTTCTGAGCCCTTAAGGACAGCTGTAATTGTGATAAGCTGGGAGACGAAGGTAAAATACACCAGGTTCAGAACTGTGAACTAAGATTTCTGAAGATCCATGCTCACCAAAGCATTTCAGTAAAAAATGGAGATAGAAGCAGGAATAGAGAAATCTACACAGGGGATTTGATATGCTTTTATATTTGAACTCTATTCTGGAATTAACAACAGAATTAATGGAATTTTTAAACAAAGAAGTGCCATGATCAGAGCAGACCCTTATAGTCAAAAGGCAGCTACGCAGGCAATACTGGATAGGGAAGACTAAAGACAGTTAAGTTATAATCAGAATGTTTAGGAGAAAGTGATCAATTTGAAATATTGTTTATACTTCTGGCATGCAAAGGACAGGAAACAATGCACAAAACTCTCAGCCTATCACAGGTATGACTCACTCAACAAGGATGTGGTTTTTGTAAATCAATAATGTCCAGAAACATTTTAATCTTTTGATTCTCATTAAGAGCCTCACATACTTATTGAACCTGAGCTTCTTTATTCGTTAACAATCTCTAAGTAGTATAAATGCACTAGCTTCTTTAAGGCACCCCAGGGCTAAATGCGAATATTCCTAGCTGTGATTAACTTAAAAAAAATTTCTTTTAATAGAAAAAAAGGGAGGGAGAGAGAGAAGCATTGATGTGTTGTTCCACTTATTTATGCATTCATTGGTTGATTCTTGAATGTTCCCTGACTGGGGAACCAGGGATTAAACGTTCAACCTTAGCAAATCAGGACGATACTCTAACCAAGTGAGCTCCTGGCCAGAGCTAGTTCTTAAGCTTTTTAGAGTCTGATAACTACACTAAGGAAGCAAATTTAAAATGCAGATTCCTGATCCCCATTTTAGACCTATAGAATCTATATTTTTTAAGATGTATCTCTCCCAGGTGATTCCTTGAGTCCGTATTAGATAAGTCATTTAAGCTCCCTAGCTTCAGAGCATCTGTAAAATAGGTGTAATAATCACTATCTTAACAGTTGTAAGAATTAAATGAAATATGTATTGAGTGAGTAGAAATGGTTCTGGCACTTTGTAGATGCTAATGATGGCCCTACCTCCTCCCTAACATTAATTTTGGACTTATAGATACTGAGTTTTCTTAAGACAGTCTAAAGAACTTAGTTCACAGTATACCTTCAGAGTCCCTTATTTGTTGTATTAACAAAGAAATATAGCACCTTAGGAGCTTTTCCCTTCCTCTCCTTCCCCTACCCCTCCACTGCAAATATGTGGGGTTTTTTTGTTTTGTTTTTTCCTTTTCTCACAGACTGGCCTTCAATCTGGGATTAATTTAGAGATAGCCCAAAATGAATGAAGGAAGATAATTATTAAGCCTATCCACTTCCAGAATTCTCCCCTTCCCCTTTCCCCTCTCCTTGCTAGTTTCTTGACAGGTAGACATGGTTTTGATGGTTAAGAGTTGGGGCAAGAGAGAGGGGTGCTGTTGGTATCACCTTCCAGTATGTGCTGTTCCTGCTGGTTCATTGAGGGCCATGGCATGCACTCACATGGATTCTAGAGACAAGCTCTTTTCTTGGCCAGAGGCCATGACTGAGTGAGGCAGGATTCTGTACAAGAGGTCTCACAACTGACTACCACTTCCAAGCCATATCCTATTGTCCTGGCCTTTTAGTAAGTTAGTTGTGGTTTATTAAAGGAAAATAAAGTCAAATCCTAGCTTCACCACTGACTTAGCTGTGTGACACTGATCAAGTTATTTAACCCCATATTCAGTTTTTTCAAATTATTTTGAAGCACTTCTGTAGGCTGTGGAAACTGATAGTTTCTGAGGAAGCAATATGATAAAAATTAGCTCCTTTCCCACAAAATAGTGCTCCCACCAAAATAACAACAATAAACACACAAATTTTTAATTTTTATTCTTTTCTATTAAAATATAAAACTAGGGTTAAACTGAATTCTCAAAGTCTAAATTAGACTAAATATAAATCTGCTATACAACCCACTGAATGGATTTATAGTTTGATAGTGTTCCTTAAAGTGTCTAGTCATCTTCCATCTTTTTCCCTTTCACTAAATTCATTCTGCTCCAGTCTTCACTTACACATGCATTTTGTTCCATGAAACATCATTTTTCAGGATCAACTTATTTGAATGATCAATCATGAAGCCTGTTTAGATCTTTCCAAACTTAAACTTTGTCCTTTTGACTATACATCTCAAGGCACTATTTTTTTTTTTTTTTTTGCTTAGTACAGAATGTTCCAGTAAGAAACAATAAAGCTATATATTTCCCTAAAATTAAAGATCAGTGTATTCAATGGCTATTATGTTAACCATGTAATACAAGTACATAAAAAACTCCTCCTCCTTATGTTAATTAACTGAAATTATAACAAATTTTAACTACTACTTTGCCATTTTCTTAATAATTACAAGATTATTCAAGAAATCAAAATGGCTTCACATAACTTGATGGTTGCTTTCAATATACTTCACATTTCAACCCCATATCCATACAGAGAAAATACAAACATACTCCCCTTACTAAAAACATCAGAAGAGGCTAAAAGGAATTATTCAAGACTTTTTAGACCTTGAAAAAGAGTAATACTTCCAATGTATTTTTAAATTATGTCAGTTTTTGTTTTTTTGGTTTTTAATTTTTTTTTCCCCAACACTTATTCCTCCTCTACCCACCCCTATAAGTCTGGGGGTATTTTTGTTTGTTGTATGTTTTGTTTCATTTTTTTATGTTACTTTTATTTTAGACAGCGACAGAGGAAGGGGGAGACACAAAGAAACACTGATGTGAGAGAGAAATATCGATGGGCTGCCTCCTGCACATCTCCTACTGGGAATCAAGCCCACAACCCGAGCATGCGCCCTGACCAGGAATCAAACTGATGACCTCTCAGTGCATGGGAGGACACTCAACCAATGGAGCCACATCAGCCAGGGCTTTAAGTCTGTTTTTAAATCAATTTGCTTCAACTGAAGTGTGCATCATAGGTAAATTCTCTCTTCAAGTCATACGGGGATTCTTTTGCATCAAGGCTCTTGTTCAAGATTCCTTCTTCTGCAAAATTGATTTTTAAAAAAGAGAAAAGGATAAACAAACATTACCAAAGAAAATCAAATAGGACAGATTCCAAGTAGTAGCAAATTTCAGTCTTCTTAAGTAAAAAATTCACATACAGATATTTAACTGTTAATAAAATTACCATTATTCTCATTGAGATATCTCCAGAGAATATCAATATATCCCTTTTAGAATACTTTTTTTATTTTTTAATCCTCACTCAAGGATATTTTTACATTTATCTTCAGAAAGAGTAAGAGGGAAAGAGAAACATCGATGTGAGAGAGACACATCAATTGGTTTCCACCCACACGACCCCAACCAGGGCCGGGGACGAACCACAACCGAGGTTCATGCCCTTGGCCAGAATCAAACCCAGGACTCTTTGGTCCACAGGCCAACGCTCTAACTGCTGACCCAAACTGGCCAGGGCTAGAATATTTTTCAATATACCAGTGTTTAATTGGGCAAATCAGTGACATATATATCACCAGATCTATATCTGTTCTAACATGCTTTAAGAGCAGGTTTTTTTAACTCGTTACAATAAAAAATCTCAAACATATAAAAGTGAAGAGAATTATGATTAACCCAATGTATCCAATAATTCAATAATTAATACTAACTATTAATGGGTTAAATTGTATCCCCCAATAGATATGTTGCAGTTTTAACCACAGGACCTCAGAATGTGGCCTTATTGAAAACAGGGTCATTGAAGATATGATCAGTTAAATGAAGTCATTCTGGAGCAGGGTGGGCCCTTAATCTACATGACTGGTGTCCTTATAAGAAAGTACCTAGACACACAAGGGGAGAACACCACGTGAATAAGGAGGCGGAGAGTATAGAGTTATGCTGCCAGAAACCAAAACAAAAAAACACACCTGGGGCTACCAGAAGCTGAAGAAGCAGGAAGAATTTTCCTTTGGTGGCTTTAGAAGGAAAATGGTTCTTGCCAACACCTTGATACTGATTTCTAGCCTCTAGAATTTATTGTCTAAAGAGACAATAAATTTCTGTTTTAAGCCACCCAGTTTGTGGTACTGTTATGACAGCCCTAGGAAACTAATACACTGACCTTACTTGTTTTACCACCCTACCTGCACCAGATTTTTTCAAACAAAATCACATATATTATTACAAAAATTATATTTAACATCGTGTTTCTCAACTTTTCTAGAACCATCTTCCACCAGCCAAGATCTTGAAGAAATTTACTTTCACAAGTTTGTATTACAAAAGCAATAGGTTTCAGGTTGTTTTATTTTCAAACCCTGTCCCATATTAATTGTAAATTACACACACATCACTAGAGATTCTAAGAGTACCTATAATGGTAATGGTTACACTCTTCTCATCCTAGCCAAACAAATAAGGAGCATATTCTGGTACATTAATAAAGATGATGTAGCATTCATTGTGTATTATTTTTATGAGAAGTTGAAAGAAAACTTCAGCAGATTAAGTGCACAGATCTATTTAATCTTACCTTTTAAATTAGGTAGAAGTTCTCCAAGACTACATGGCATTGTGGTCCTCAATCTCTGTTCCACTGGAGAAAACTTAATTAGTGGTGAAAGAGACTGTTTTCTTTCACCAAGGGACATGTGTAAAGATGGTTTTGTATAGTCAGTGTGCAAATCCTGAGTGTCCAAAAGGTTAAGCATATCATCTGTTTGCATGTTTTGAGGAGTAGGGTTCAATTCTGGTTTGTGTCTTTCAGGTGCTTCAGAATTAGAGAGGTAGGTTTCTTCCTTTTTCTTGATAAGAGATTTTTTCAAAGCCTCATATCTACTGTAAATAGCTGGTAAACTGAAGTCTGATTTTGGAGTAGTCTGTCTTTCTCCCACAGCATCTTCTGGAAAAATGCTACTGTGCATAGGACTATTTAGTTCCAGTTTAAAATTTGCCTCTGTACTACTGGAGCTATTAAGACTTAAATGACCAACTTCTTCTGGAAGGGTTTCATGTAATATGCCAAAATCAATATCCTTAAGACCTTCTCTATGTTCAGTATCCATTTGAATTGATTCTGTAGTTCTTTTATCTTCCATTTCAACAGCTTTTCTCCATGAGCTCCTAATATCACTGACTAATTAAAGGAGGAGAAAAATACAATTTACTAATATTCCCAAACACAGCACGCAAGTAAACATTTCATTTCTAGTGCTCAATATAAAACTACTAAGTATATGTTCCACAGATATGCTGGTTGGATGACAAGGCTCTACAATATATCAAAGCCCAACAAGATCAAAGACCTCCATCTCCAACTGATTACACACAAATAAAAGCTATTCCCTAAATATGCATATACTTTTACATAGCACATGCAGATTGCATGTATCAAAAAGATATTTTGGCTACAGTTTAGCAAACTTTCTCTGTAAAGAGACAGACAGTAATATTTTAGGCTTTGCAGGCCATCCAGTCTATGGCAACTATTTAACTCTGCCACTGAGCATGAAAGCATCCATAAACAATATGTCAACAAATGAGCAAGATTGTATTTAATACAACTTTATTTATAAAAACACACAAGGCAGTGTGTAAGGCTGTGGTTAGGTTCAGCCTGAATTGAATCCATTTAAATTTGAATATATCATTTCTAGCAGCAAAATGGAAATTACATTTAGTCACTCAACCAGGATGATGTGCCTACATAAAGACAGTATCAGAACTTTACCTACACAAATTATAGATTGTACAAAAAAAGTACTTGGGCATTCTGGCTACCTTAGAAGGGGTAGGAAAGATCTCTGAACACACGGTGTTTGGCTGATGCTGCTGGTTGTTGACTGTGAGATCACAGCCTCTATACTCTGTAAGTGTTGATCACAGATCAGATGTGGAGACAGAGGATTTTTTAAAAGTGATCAACTAAATATTTTCCAGGAAAAAGCCAAGTAAAACAGAAAACAAAATTGTACAGTACCAGGCAAAATAATACTACTGAAGGGGATTATCATGTGAGAGTGCCTACACATAATACTTCAATAAAAGTCCCTTACATCCAAATAAAGACCCACTGCCACTAAACTTGAAGATATAAAAGAGTTTTAAAGTGAACTTCCAGAAGATTTGTCAGACCATGGTTTTAATAATAATAATGTCTAAAAAATAAAATAAGTGATAGAAAGCATTATTAACTTACTCAAGTTTTCTGGAGTTCGGGGAATTTGGTTCCTTGTTAAGAAGGGGTTAGAAACTAGAGAGTCAATCAGTTCCTCTAATTTTACTTCTTTTCCTGTGGAGAGCTGTGGTGAATCAGATAAAACTGTCTTCACAACCTAAAACAGAAAAGAAAAAGTAAAACAAAAATTACCCCAAAATTAAGCCCATTGGTAGAATGCAACAAAAGCCCTGATAATAACAGAAAGCACCTCACCGTCAGCAGCCCTTCCCATTGCTGACAGCACAAAAGGAAGTTCAACAGTGTAGCTCCCAGACACTCCCCACAGACTATCTGGGCACAATCCTACAAGGCAGTGATTTTCAACCTTTTTCACCTCATGGCACACATAAACTAATTACTACAATTCTGCTGCACACCAAAAAATATACTTTTGGCTGATGTGACCAAAACAATAGGTATAATTTTGATTCATTCCCACGAGGCAGCTATTGTCGTTTTGGCTGTTGTCATTTTTTTTATTTGACAGTCTAAGGAAAAAGAGGTCAGTGCCCCTGCTAAATAGGTACTGCATGGTTTTTTTTGTTTGTTTGTTTGTTTTATCCTCACCCGAGGACATTTTTCCATTTTTTGTTCAGAGAGAGTGGGAGGGAGGGAGAGGAAGAGAGAGAAAGAGAGAAACATCGACGTGAAAGGGACACATTGAGTGGCTGCCACCCGCACGACCAACCAGGGTCAGGGACAAACTGCAACCGAGGTACGTGCCCTTAGCAGGAACCGAACCCGGGTCTCTCTGGACCGCAGGCTGATGCTCTAACCTCTGAGCCAAACCGACCAGGGCGGTACTGCATGTTTTAAAAAGTCTTGCAGCACACAGGTTGAAAATTGCTGCTATAAGGTAAAATCAAACACAAAACTTTCTTCACTTATCTCAAATGGATATCCCATTATAAAGGAGAGAAAAGAAGAATCTTTATACTTAGGAAGATTTGGAGGTAGCTCTGACTACACAGTGACCTAAAACTAAACTACTATCTGCCACACCATTAAGCTTGACAACACTGTACCTGCTAAAACGACTAGTTTTAAAGTAAGCAGATTCTTAATTATAAACCATTTTGCACAGTAACACTTCTATTAACAAACAGAACACATTCTGATAAAATATTTCTTTGCCAGAAACCTCATTATCATATATAAACTAGTAAACAAGGCATAGATGCATTCTAAAATAGAGAAAACATAGTGTACGATATGAAAATAGCACTCTATATTAATTAAAAGTGAATAAATCCAGAAAAAATATGCAAATTAAAAATGTCTGCCCCAATAGATAAACCACAGAACTTATATGCATGTATGCATAACCAATGGACATGGATAACAAAGCCAAGGATGGGGAGGAGAGTGTCAATGGGGTAAAAAAGGAGAAACATCTGTAACAAAAATAAAATTAAAAAAAAAAAAAAAAAAAAAGTCTGCCCCTTGCAATCCCTAAAAAATAAATTTCCAACGACCATAATCAAATTGACTTTCACTTACCCTCCCCCATGAAAACAGAGGGCTTTTTAGAATTCAAACACTAAATATTCCTTGTCACAAACACTATTAAATAAGATTCATTTTACTTTGTTTTCAGAGCTTTATGAGATTTTTCGGACTCTCCTCTTCCATCCCATTCCATTCCATTCCACTGCTACTATAAATACTTTTAACCAGACAATGTGCCTTTCCTTCCATATCAGGAAAGAAAAAAAGACTGACAATCTTTTATTTAGTGTAATCAACTAAGAAAGAAAACAATAGAACTTTAGAAATTTAAAAATATTTAGAGCCCTGGCTGGTGTGGTTTAGTTGGCTGGGCATGGTCCCATGGACTGAAATATTGCTGGTTCGATTCCCAGTTCAGGGCACATGCCCAAGTTGTGGCTTGAGGCGGCAGATCAATGTTTCACTCTCAGATTGATGCTTCTCTCTCTCCCTCTTCCTTCCTCTATCTCTGAAAATCAATAAAAGTATTTTTCAAATATATATTTAGAGACCATAAAACTGGCCCAACCTCCTCACGTTACAAATAAGAAAAATGTCTGGCATCCAGCTCTCTTATTTGGACAATATTCATTTACTTTGATCATAATTGAGATAAAAGAGGGAACTTCAATACCTGAATCAATCAATATGTACTAAACCAAATGTTTCTTTCAATCTCTCAGGACTAGCATAGCTGATTTATTCTCTGGCTGCTTATCCAAATTCAAACAATGCTAAGGGATGCTGTGGGAAACTGTAATAAAAATAACATTAGAGAACGGCTTGAGCATTTCATTTGTGTAAACTGAATTCTGTTAATACTACTGAGCAATAGTAGTATTAAGTGGCACTTGCCAATAAAAAGTGAAACAGCATTAAGTTAGGAAAACCTAGATCACGAATAATGTCGCATTTAATTATTTTTGAAATACTTAGGACAAAAACCTTCGCTCAGTGACAATATGATATTGCAGTCTGTGTTCTAATAATCGAAAAAGAGGATACTCAGCTAAGCAACAAACAACATTCATGGAGTATTTTAATAGAGTATAACCACTGGGTATATTTACCCAACAACTGAGATGTAATGCTTAACTCCAAAATATCACACATGAATTATGTTTATACTTTTGGATATTTATAAGATGGAACATGAGTGCTAAACCATGGAGGTAATCTTAACTAAATAAGTTTATATAAAATCTATTTCCACTTTTGGGAAGATCCAATTTTGCTTCAACCATGATTTTTATTATCTGTGACCTCCTTTCCCAAATTTCTCCCAAGAAATCAATAATTAACTGTATTTCAATTTCAATCACAAAACTATAGAGGAAATAATAGCTATTTCAGTATATTTGCTACAATCTTTTTCTAACCTCTTCTGCCAGATGATCTTGCTCTTTTTGAAATGGATCGATTTTTTTAACTGGCAGAGGCCCTCCAAATGCACTACTCTCTGTATTCGCTGCAATATCTGATGATGGAAGGTCTTCCCGTTCACACTCTGGTGTTTTCTTAGAAACTGCTTCAGTTTTTTCTCTAGATGTTTTCATCTTCATATCCTGAAGAAAACAGACATATAATGTTAAAACCTTAATAATTGTGCCTGATTTTCATTAGAGGTTCTTGAGTTATAATGGACCTATAAAAGTGTATTAACATTAGCCCAGCCGACGTGGCTCAGGATTAAGCGCCATCCCATGCACCAAGAGGAGGTTCGATTCCCAGTCAAGGCACATGCCCCGGTTGCAGGCTCAATCCCCAGTAAGGGGCATGCAGGAGGCAGCCAATATCTGTTTCTCTCTCACATCCATGTTTCCATCTCTCTCTCCCTCTCCCTTCCTCTCACTCTGAAAAAAATAAAAACATTTTTAAAGAAAAGTTTATTAACATTATTGGGAAATTATATGTTCGCTGGTACAATTAAATAATTCCAATATTCTCATTTAGAAGCACAGGGAATGTGTAAATAGAAATGGTACATAATGTGCAAATACTGGAAGATGTGAAAATAAAATTTTAATTTAATTGGGGTATCAACAAAAATAAATATTTTATCCTAAGTTAGTATGATCAGAATTAAAAATTATTTTAAAATGTACCTCTTCAAATACTGTAACATTGTTTCCATTTGATGATGAAACTGGCTGCAACAGAAAAGAAGCAGAGCTAAAAGGAAAAAAAAATCCAAGTTATGAGTAAGAAAGAATTCCATTCACTTTATGTATCTGAATATTCTTTAAAAACTGTCTGCCCCGTATCTGTCCGTTACGATTTCTCTCAATTCGTCCCGGTCATCAAAAGGCAGTTTATTCTAGGGAGGTATGGTGACAATGAGAGCAGTACTGCAGCCCAATTGTGTATCAGCCTCCCAAAGTGTGAATATTTGCTTTACCTGCTATATAGTTTAAGTAGACAGCATTTTTTACAGGGGTTAAATGACTTGATGAACACTCAAAAACTTGAGTACAGAGTAAGAACAAATTCAATTAATTAGAGTCGCATCCTCGGTCTTCAGATCACAGATTTTCATTGTAGCAGAGACTTTCTTTTAAGATCTTCTGATATTTCATATCCAAAATCAATATCTCTTATGCTGAATTTTGCTCTATAGCAAATACATCACACTTACAACAGTCATAAAGCTATTCAATTTCATTCTATACATAATATTCCTTAATCTCTTAGATTCTCTTGCCCCTTTGAATAAACATAAAAACTTTATGTATGTTTTCATTATAATTATAAAATAATTTATTAAATTTCTAAAGCCTTTAAAACAATAACTTTAACCATTTATCTTCATCTTGAAAGAATTTTCTAGTTCAGTCATGGACTGGGTTTGCTTGTGACCAAAAGCTTTTCTATTCCAGGTTATATGAAAGGCAGATTACCAGAAACCACTTTTCAACATCAACCATGTCAACTTTATGTTCACAGCCAGAGCATAAAATTTACAGCTTTGCAAATATTTTAAAAAATAGCAAATATGCTTTTGCAAACTTTTTCAAATATGCCCTTTTTAGAATTATCATCTACCTTCCAAACAATTCAAAATCACTGAAATTGCTCAAGCTTCAGCTTCACCTCAACAGGATATAATCTACATAGCAAAGGCAGAAAATTAACTATCTACTGCAATTTTACCTCAATTTTTCCAAAAACTATACATTAATCAAAAGTCCTGTGAAGCAGGGCCAGCAATCTACACACCAAGGCCACTAAGATGCTATCACAAGATGGTGAGCTCCTTGAAAAAAAGATTATGACTTTCCAAAGGCTACTCCCAGGGACTAACACAGTGCCTGGTCCTAGTGCAACACATATTCGTAACTGACTGACAGATTGACTAATCATCAATGAATAAATGTCACTTAAGGATGAGGATCTACAGATGACATCAAGTTTTTCTATTTGAATCATTCTTGCAGAGCCTCATAATAGAGAAAAGTGGAAATATATTCTATATCTTCTCTCATTTGTGAATTGACAACACGCAATTAGCACTGTTAACATCTCAATCTAAGACAACTTTTTTTTTTATCTTCACCAGAGGACATTTTTGCATTTATTTTCAGATAGAGCGGGAGGGAAAGAAGGGGGAAGAGAGAGAGAGAACATTGATATGAGACACATGGACTGGTTGCCACCCACACAACCCCTTCTGGGGCCGGGAAAAACTGCAACCGAGGTACTTGCCCTTAGCGGGAACCAAACTGGGACCTCTCTGGTCCGCGGGCCGACGCTCTAACCGCTGAGCCAAACTGGCCAGGGCTATCTAAGACCACTTTAAAGCAGCCCAGGCTCAGTGCTTACTCTCTATCTACTTGCCATGCCAAAACTGAGGCCTGTGAAATCCTAGCACTGTAAAAAGATCAAATGGGTGTTGATCACATTGTGGGAATTTATCCTAAGGAAAAAACACTTCCAAAGGAGGGGAGGGTGATATGCTTTTTATAGTAGTAAAAATTTTGAGAAAAAAACCTAGCCCATCCAGTGTGGCTCAGTGGTTGAGCATCAACCCATGCACCAAGAGGTCGCCGATCGATGTTCTCTCTCATCGATGTTTCTATCTCTCTCCTTTCCTTTCTCTCTAAAATCAATCAAAGAAAGAAAAAAAAAAAAAACCTACGTCTAAAAATAAAATGTTACAAAGCCATTATAAGTGAAATTTGGTAATATAATGTTAAGTAAACATACATACATACTTTTTAAAAACTGCATTTATGCTATGATAATGTTTAGAAAATGTTGTATTTTAGAATATAAAACTATATCCATGCTTTAATTAGAACTAAATCTATGATTGTAAAGAAAGCCTAAAAAGACCCTGGCCAGGTAGCGCAGCTGGCTAGAACATCGTCCCAAGTCACCAAGATTGAGGGTTCAATCCTCGGTCAGGGCACTTTATTAAAGAAAGATATAATATTGGAATTCAACTTCTAAGACTAAGGATGTTTAGTTGACAGGCATGCAAGATCATATTGCCCTATCTTTGAAATGCAGTAAAGGAGAAACTATAGAGGTTAAAGGTCTAAAAAGAACTGCATCACCACTACTAGAAATATCACGGAACCCTCCCTTCTAGAAACCATTGCAAAGAAAGTTAGTGTCCCAGTGTACAGCACAGGCACCATCAGTCACTGAATTCTGATTTTAAGTATGGTGAAGCCTCCATCAGCTCACTCTGACCAAAACCAGCCATGAGATTTATGGAGAACACCATTTATATTTTTGAACCTGTGAATGACAACTCTATGCCAAAGGGCTAATAACACACTTACTTTAAAAACTACATTCTGTCTACGTTTTTAGTTGAAGAGTTGAATTAATCATATCCACATATAAATTTCCCTGTTAACTACACTGATACTGATATAAGATGATGGCAAATAAAATATTTAGTATAACAGCTGAACTACATGCAAAAAGAGGTATTATTTTCTTTAAATACATTCTACTCACATTACACATTACTAATAAAATATTTTGTTACAAAATACCATTTACAGTCAAGAATTCTGAACAAGTTTATTTTCACATCCCATTAACAGCTCTATCTTCTGCTATCAAGCAGTAATATTCTTTTATATCCCATTAACCACTTATCCCTTATCACAAAAAGCCTTCCTCTACCTCCCTTCAAAATACAAACCTAGAATTAAAGTATCTAAAGATAATTAAAAGATCCAGGAGCTTGGGAAAGGGCAAATGTAGAAATCAAAATATATGTAATACAATTTCTTTTTCCCATATTAAAAGAATTCGTTTTAATTTAATTCTTGGAGGCTGTGTCTGGTTCTTGTAGAATTATGAAGATAATATATCTTAGTACAAAATTCTACTTCAAGAAAAAATCTTGCGGTTCTATGGAGTTCATAAATAAAATCTGATCTATGAACTAATCTACTAACTCCATCAATCTTTAGTTCAGCAAGAGACTTTAATCAAAATACTTAATTTGCTCTCTTGTTGGAAGACAAACCAAAAACTTAACTAAGGTCAGGAAGCACCAGCTATTCCCCACTATCATGCTTTAAGAACAATTGTGATAAGGGGGTAAAATACACAAGCCCAACAACTTAACTATTTCTTCAATATCAGGTCTTCACAGAAGATTTCATTATGTTTCTTTATATACTTAGAAAATCAACATCATATCCAGATATAAGAATAAAAATATAATTCTTCCACAAGTAGTCCTGACCTCCGGTGAACCAGAAAATTACTACAGAGTAAACTACCAGTAACTCAACGTCATATACAGCAGTGTTTTATATACAGGTATACTGCATATATACCTTTTCACTTAAAGAAAGCACTTTACAGCTTCAGCATATCCGAGCTGCCAGCATCACTCTTCTTGCATTTTGGGGCCATTATTAAGTAAAATTAGGGTCATTTGAACACAAGAATTACTATATCACAACAGTTGGTCTGCTAACCAAGACAGTTACTGACAGCTGGGCAGCATGTTCAGTGTGGATATGCTAGATGATGGGACAATAGACATCCTGGGCAGGACAGAGCAGAATGCCCAAAGATTTCATCCCACTACTCAAAATGGTACACAATTTAAAATTATCAATTATTTATTTCTGGAATTTTCCATTTAATACTTTTGGAATTTGAGTGACCACAGGTAACTAAAACTGCCAATAAAGAGGAACTAGTATACATTTCCTTGTTATGGTTTTTCAACTTATTAATAGTGTACATAATAAAGAGGGCTTCAATTCATTTAAAATTTAGAATTTCTTTTTAGAATTTTCCTAAGAATTATTGTTTCCATATCTGTGTCTCATTTACATGGGGAACTGGACTGCAATACACCTATTTAAGACAAAAAGTAATGAGAAAAATAAAAAATAATAAAGAAATATGTTAAAGTATATCTGTATTTGATTGTTATTTAATAATGCTTAATTTCACCCTGGCTGGTTTGGTTCAGCAGCTAAAAGCATCAGCCCTTGGACCTAAAGGTCACAGGTTCAATTCATGGTCAAGGGCATGTACCTGGGTTGCAGGTTCAATGCCCAGCCCTGGTCGGGGTTGTGTGGGAGGCAACCGATCGATGTGTATCTCTCATGTTAATATTTCTCTCTCTCTCCCTCCCTCCCTCCCTTCTACTCTATCTGAAAAGCAATGAAAAAATATCCTCGGATGAGAATTAACAAAACAAAATAATAACAATACTTAATTTCAATAAAAACAAATATATTCCCCAAGTAGATTATATACACTTAGTTTAAAGATTTCTATTTTTATAACCTGGCATCAGTTTTAAAGGCCAAAAAATAGTTACAGAGTAAAAACAGGCAATAAAGAAAATAAGAATACTCCTGAAAAAAGTTACAGAAAATTAAGTAGGTTCAGTTTTTTCACATGTTAAATTATGCAATTTGAATGAATCATAAGGCTTTCTTTTTTTTTTTAAAGAATGAAACTTTTCTGCGCTGGCCCGTTTGGCTCAGCGGTTAGAGCATCGGCCTGCGGTCCTGAGAGACCCGGGTTCAGTTCCCGCTAAGGGCGCGTACCTCGGTTGCAGTTTGTCCCCGGCCCTGGTCGGTTGTGCGGGTGGCAACCACTCGATGTGTCCCTTTCACATCGATGTTTCTCTCTCTCTCTGTTCCTCTCTCCCTCCTACTCTACCTGAACAAAAAAATGGAAGAATGTCCTCGGGTGAGGATAAAAAAAATAAAGAAAGAAAGAAAGAATGAAACTTTTCTTATCAAATGACATATAGAAACCCCAACATATAATACAGATAAAAGAGCGAGCTGCTCAGGATGAAGTGGAAAGGTTGGACTGCCAACAGGCTGAATTAGAGTCACACCACAGAACCAGAGGGCAGTGCAGAATATAGACTGAAAACTACCAAGCAGATGATCTCAAAGGTCCCTAAACTCTTAGATTTAGTCAATAGCTACAAAAGGTTTCAAAGAAGTTCACAGACACAAAAAGACAAACATTCCCAAGCCTGCATTAGATATTTTCCAGGTATGTTTTTTCTTCAAAAATTAGACAAGTCCCATGAATCCCAACAATTTAATATAGAAAAGACGACGACAAAATTGCCCATGTATTAGAAATGTTGAATCTTTCCTGAAAATGTAGATTTGCAGTGGAAAACTACTGCCTGATTAAGACAAGAAAATTATGGATTATCTCACAGTAGAGAAGCTTGGAATCTGGCTAAAGATGGGACTAAAAGCAATAAAGGAAAAAAACCAATATGAAAATCAATGTTGTTTTACCTGTTGGTTAGATCACATCCAGTTCCCAGTACATCGCTGGCTCTTCTGCAGTCATTTTCCTGGTTATGCTGTTTAGGTGTATCTAAAGGAATAGAAAAATTAATCACTATTTAATTATGTTTTTACATTCTGATATTAGGGATCTCTTGAAATTCTACAACTTCTAAACAAAAGAAAACAAAAAAATCAAAATAATATGAATGCTAACAGGAAAAGACAATTATTCAATCATTATATATATATAATGATAGGCAGGACAGTGATACAGAATATCTATTAATAGCCCAGAAGAAAAATAAAAATCATCACATGCCAAAACCAAAGATGGAAAGCATGATCAGCATGGTAAGCTCACACTGAGAAACGAAAGCTCAATGAGCTGAACACTGGAGACTTGATGCCTACATGGTAACAAAAAATATCATCTCAGGTCACTCAGGCTGAGACACTGCCATAGGCAGGACACTAAACAATGCTTGGCCCCTAAAAAGGGGATTATAAAAATTCTGCCAACTGGACCAGGGAAGTAGCAGAGAAGCTTGCTGTCTGGATGGAGTGCTGGAGGAGGGAGGAAGAGAGGAAGAGAGGAAGGGCAGGAGGAAATTTAAAACCTAGCCTACTCAAAAGGAGATATAAAATCCAAATGTATACTGGCTACTTGTTGTAGGACTCCCAAATCAAAGACACTAACTGGCCTAGCTCAAAGGAAACAACTGGGTCCCTAGGCCACTCTGTAGAGACCCTTCTATAATTCAGAGCCCATATGGCTCCTCCAGAGGTAGAGAAATGTTGAGACCATAGTTAATAGGGAGCAAACCACTATGAAAATTAGCAGGCAGAGACTAGAGGAGCAAAAGTACCTGAAACAGAGATATTAGAAAAGTTGACAAAGATAAAATCAGTACATTTTTAATGATCAGGAAAACAAAAACAGGAGAAGAACCATATGATAACACCATGAAGAACAGGCAGTTTTGAAAAGGAAGCAAATGGAAAGTACATTCATGAAAACTAAATACTAAATAGACAGGTCAAAAAGGAAAATAAACCTGACTAAAGAGATAATTAGTGAACCGTCACAGAGATCCAAAATACCCAGAATGCAGCCCAGTTACAAAGAGATTATAAATATGATTGGGAAGTTAAGAGATATAAAGGACAGAATTAGAAGTCCCAACAATAGGACTTACAAAAGGAAAGAGTCAAAACAATGAGAGAGAGGTAATACTAAGAAAGAAATATTAGTGAGTAAGTTTTCAGAACTAAAGATCTGAGCCTTCACATTAAGTAAGTACACATAAGTCCCAAGCAGGCTAAATAAAAAAAAAAATCTACATTCAGACACATCTCAATGAACCTGCATAATGCAAATATAAATAAATAAGAGTCTTAAGAGCAACCAGACATCAGAAATTAATTACCTACAAATCAATGACAATTAGACCAACAGCAAATGTCTCAGAAACAATAGAAGGCAAAAAGCAATGAGATCATATCATCAAAGTCCTAAGGAAAAATAAGTGTCTATCTAGAATGCTATATCTAGTCAAACCATCATTCAAGGAGTAAGTGAAAATAAAGATGTTTTCCCAGAAAGACTAAAGAGATTTTACTATTCAGGGTCCAACACTAAAAGTAAAGGATATACTTCTAGATATATTTCTCAAAAGGAAAAAGTAGAACAAATGAAGTAATACTGATGCAAAAAAAAATCAGTCAAATGTTGGTGAATCTAAAAATGCAATGACTGTTGAAAACAAGTTCTACCAATGTCAGGTCCTGGTCAGTTTGTTCAGTGGTTAGAGCATCAGCCCGCAGACCAAAGAGTCCCGGGTTTGATTCCAGTCAAGGGCACGTACCTCCTTGCGGTTTGTTTCCCGGCCCTGGTCAAGGTTATGCGGGAGGCAACCAATCAACATGTCTCTCTCATGTCGATGTTTCTCTCTTTCTCTTTCTCTCCCTTCCTCCCTCACACTCTATCTGAATATACTCAAGTGAGGATTAAAAAAAAAAAACAAGGGTAGGGATATTATTCTAGAATAAAAATTAGGTGGACAAAACAACCAAATGTAATGCGTGAATGCTCCTTGAATCCTGGCTTCAAAAATAAATATTTACAAAGGACTTTTCTGGGGATAAGAAAAATCTTAGAATAACAGAACAATACTGTGTCTTGTTAGATCCCTACATAATAAAGTAAAGTTATCTTTACAGATATCAGAATAGACATACGATTCAGATAGTGGTTTATCTTGGCAAATTCAGGACGAATGGGGTTGAGGAAAGCACATACCCAAGGGTTAACTGTGTTTGTACTTTTTAAAAAATTCTAAAGCAAATACAGCAAAGATTTGTCAAGAATGTTCAGCAAGAAGGTATTTACATTATTCCCTATACTTACTATTCTGAAATATAATTTTTAAAAGCAATTTAAGAGAACATTACTTCAAGTAAGACATAATATGTAAGGTGGGGGGCAAGGGGGAGTTGTTTTACTACAAAAAGTATAAAATAATGTTGTGGTTCTCCAGCTCAGGGAATAAAAGGAATCCCAAGAGTACAAACTGTGCGATGTTGAAGGAGGGAGTTACCGCCAAAAAGTTTTCAAACACCTCTAAATGTGGACTTCCAACTGAACTTCTTAAGCAGACACAAATATGCTGTTACTGTCAAGGCAGGCACAGAGATCTCTGAATGAACAAGAGGACAATTTCATGGTTTCACAGACCTAACCTAAGTGTGACAAGAGTACAAAGGCCTTTTCCAAGCTGAAGTGAGAACACAATGCCAACCAAATATGCCAAAAGATTTCAACGTAATCAAAAGCAAAGCTCTACTGAAAGTCCTTTTCATTCATCAAACCATGCAGTCAAAATGTTCAGCTCTTCTCCCAGCACCTATTCTGAGCCTTGCTTCTGGTCTATAATCCTTCCCAACCAGTGTCCTCCCCCAATCACCTAATCCATTTGTGTTCACCCTTTCCTTCATAAGTCCCGCCATGACCTCTGGCCTGCCTGAACTCAACTATGACCTACACTTATTACCTTCCATCTTGGCTACGTAATTCATACACTTTTTTTATTCATTTATTTCTCCACCTATCCATATTACATTTACTGAACCCAGTAACAATTTCTTTTACACAGTACTGGGAAACTGAATATAAAGTGCATATTGGATATTGTAGAGAAAGTAATTTTTAGGGGTGATATTGGCATGATAGTTGAGGAAGCTTAATAAAACAAAGAATTATTGTTCATTTTTAGGTATGATATCAGTAGGGTAGTTATAGAGAGAAATCTAATTTTATGGGAAAGCATGCTAAAACACTTAAAGTATTTCAATATCTAGAATTTACTTGGTTTAACAAAAATACAAATATATATATGTAAAGCAAATATGGCAAACGTTAAGTGTTGAAACAGGTTGTAAGTATTCAGGTTATTTCTGTACCATTCTTTCATGTTAAAAAATTACGGACTTCCACACAAAAACTTGTAAACAAATCTTTATAGCAGTATTACTCATAACAGCCAAATAGTGAAACAACCCAAATTTCCAAAGAACAAATAGATAAATAAAATATGGTTTAATCATTCAATAGAATGTATTCATAAAAAGTAATGAAGTACTGCCCTGGCCGGTTTGGCTCAGCGGTTGGAGCGTCAGCCTGCAGACCAGAGAGTCCCGGGTTCGATTCCCACTAGGGGCATATACCAAAAATTAAAAAAAAAAAAAAATTAAAAAAATTAAAAAAAAAAAAGCAATGAACTACTGATACATACTACAACTTGTTGTTGAAAACACTACACAAAGTGGAAAACTATACAAGTAACAGAAGCCAGACACAAAAAGCCTCATGTTATGATTCCACTTATACAATATATCCAGAATAGGCAAATGCATAGACACATGAAGTACATTAACGGTTGTTAGGCACTGGGGGAAGTGGAAATGGGAGTGACTTCTAATGATTCAGTGAATACAGGGTTTCCTTTTGAGGTAATGAAAATATTCTGGACTAGACAGTGGTTGGTGATGGTTGCAAAACTTTGTGAATTTATGACATGCCACTGAGATGCACACTTTACAATAGTGAAATGATATGCATTTCATCACAATAAAAAATAACTGGGGGAGGGGTAGAATGTAAAGGAACAGTATCATAGTGAGAAATATTGATGAGAGGAAAGTTTAAAAGAGAAAAAAATAGCTCTGACTGGTTTGGCTCAACAGTTAGAGTGTCAGCCTACAGCCTGCAGACAGAAGGATCTTGGGTTCAATTCCAAGTCAAGGGCATGTACATCGGTTGCAATTTCAATCCCTGGCCCTGGTAGGGGTTGTACAGAAGGGAACCAATCGACCTATCTCTCTTACATTGATGTTTCTCTCTCCCCCACTCCCTCCCCTTCCAATCTATCTAAAAATCAATGGAAAAATATCCCTGGGTGAAGATTAAACAAAAACCAAAAAAGAGAAAAAATAACCAACCTGGAAGTGAAGCAGGATACTGCAAAAGAATACTTCTTGCATATACTTCTTCTGAGGCAGGATCAAACGAAAGAGGAGACATAGGTGGTAAAAGATCCACAGCCTTAAAACAGAGAATTGATCATTTTAAAATATACACTTTTTACTCACTACCACATAATACTACTAAGTTAATCTATCAATAGATGATTCTAACAAAGATAGAATTACAAATGCATATAATGTATCCTATAATTATTTTAAAAACAAGGAGTACCATATTAGGAACAAGAGGATTACTCTGTCCTTCAGCTATATCTCAAACATAATAGTACCTCTAACATCAAGAGGAAAATCTCATTTTTTAATACAATCCTCTGTATCTAAAAATAGTAGCTATATATCACAACAGCTGCCTGATGAAAACTCTAGTATGTATTTAGAATAATTATAGAAATCAAACTTTTGATCTTTAGGCTCAAATGCAAAGATGACAAACATACACACACATAGCATTTCTAGGTCATTCGTAACATGATAAATCAAGAAACTGCCTTACATTTAACTACTCCAAAAGGCAAGTCAATCCCAGACAAGAAGAAGCTAAAGGAGTTTATCACCACCAAACCAGTATTACAAGAAATGTTAAAGGGATTCTTTAAGAAGAAAAAAATAAATAAAAAGATCAAAACTATGAATAAAATGTCAATAATTACATTAAATGTAAATGAATTAAATGCTCCAATCAAAAGACATAGGGTAGTTGAATGGATAAGAAAAAAAAGACCCTTACATATACTGCCTACAACAGACTCACTTCAGATAGAAAGACATACACAGATTAAAAGTAAAGGGATCGAAGATACTTAATGAAAATAAAAAAAAAACTTTTTTGAAAGCTGGGGTAGCAATACTTATCAGACAAAATAGACTTTAAAACAAAGGCTATAACAAGATGCATCTGGTTATTTATCCAAAGAAGCCCAAAACACTAATTTAAAAAGACATATGCATCCATATGTTCACTGCAGCATTATTTACAATAGCCAAGATATGTAAGCAACCTAAGTGTCCATCAATAGATGAATGGATAAAGAATTAGTGCATATATGACTCAGCCATAAAAAATAATGAAATCTGCCTGGCCAGTGTGGCTCGGTGGTTGAGCGTCAACCCATGCACCAAGTGGTCGCCGGTTTGATTTCCGGTCAGGATGCATGCCCAGCTTATAGGTCAAATCCCCAGTGGGGGACATGCAGGAGGTGGCCAATCGATGTTCTCTCTCATCAATGTTTCTATCTCTTTCCCTCTCTAAAATCAATAAAGAAAATACATTTTTTTTAAACACGGCAAATTAAATTTTTAAAAAAGAATGAAATCTTGCCATCTGAAACAACATGGATGGACCTAGAGGGAATTGTGGTTAAGTAAGGTAAGTCAGACAAAGAAAGACAAATGCCATATTATTTCACTTAAATGTGGAATGTGAAAAACAAAATAAATGAACAAACAAAACAGTAACAAACTCATAGATACAGAGAACATATTGATGGTTACCAGATGAGAAGGGAGTTGATGGGATGAGTGAAAAAAGGGAAGAAATTAAGAATTACAAACTGGTAGTTACAAAACAATTATGGGTATGTAAATTATAGCATAGAGAATACAGTCAATAATATTATAACTATGTACAGTGTCTGATAGGTACTAGATTTATCAGGGTGATCACCTCATATGTTATATAAGTGTCTAAACACTATGTTATATACTTGAAACGAATATTGTAGGCCAACTGTAACAAAAAAATTAAAATAAAAGAAAAAAAGAAAAAAAAAGCAAGTCAGTTCTACTTACTGGAGTCCAACCTTTAATTAGACTAAAAGGAGACAGACCAAGAAATTCTTTCCACTTTTTATGCCATTCTCCTTGTTTTTCAACAATAGAATGTGTTACAGTTGTAAGATCTTCTTCTAATTTATGCCTATAATAGCATAAACATAACTTTATTCAAAGCATTAATATATAATAAATGTAATAAGTAAAATTTAAAAATTTTGTAGGAAAAGGGAAGATATATATAACAGTTCAATCAATACAGCACATATAAATTGAATAAATTCTCACAATACTCAGAACCTAAAATACCTGTTTTCCTTTTAAGACTAGAAAGTAATAATACATCTATTACTCCATTTATCTTTAAAATACAATTTTTTTCAGCCCTGGCCAGTGTGGCTCATTCGATTGAGTGTTGTCCCAGTTGCCAGTTCGATTCCCGGTCAGGGTACATGCCCAGGTTTTGGGTTCAGTCTCCGGTTCAGGTGCATAGAGGAGGTAAATAATCAATGTCTCTCACATCAATGTTTCTCTCTCTCTCTCCATCCCCCCCCCCATTCCTCTCACTCTCTCTCCCTAAAATCAATCAATAAAAACATGTAAATACATAAAATACAATCTTTCTTCCTGGTTCTGAACTCGAATAAAAATTCTACTCCCATTCTCTGTCCATTCTTTTTTTTTTTTTTCTTTATTGATTTTAGAGAGAGAGGAAGGGAGAGGGAGAGAGACAGAAACACCATTGAAAGGGAACATCAATTGGCTGCCTCCTGCATGCACCCCACTGGGGATTGGGACCACAACCTGGGCATGTGCCCTGACCAGGAATCGAACCAACGACCTCTTGGTGCATGGGTCGACACTCAACCACTGAGCCATACCAGCCGGGCTCTGTTCATTCTTAAAGACAGCCCATACCTCTCAGTCACTATGCTCAAATAAAATACTTTTCTGAGCCCTAGATTTATTAGTAGACTCCACAAAAGAAAGTCCACAGAAAAGTTAAAATTATTTCATGCAGAATCATCACTCAGGGCAAATAATATAGTCCAGACAAAAAGAAAACTACATTAATTCTCCTTCTACTTCATGAGTCTCTCTGAGAATTGATGACATAAGATTTTTAAGTACTAGGAAAATTTTCACACTTGTTTGCCAAAGCTGAAGAGTTGTTAAACTACACGAGTTGTACTGAGAAATTATTAAAACCATCCTACTCCTCCCCCAATAAATTAAGAGAATCTTACTAGTGTACCTCATATGTTTCAGATCCAATAATCTTTCTTTCTGAAATTTGGTCTCTTTTTCAAGAAAACGAAGGTCTATTGTCAGTCTTGCTTGGTCAGCCTGACAACATTCATATTTCATTACTTTCAAGACTTCATTTAATAACTGAATAACTGTTAACAGGTTCAATTTTCCAGCCTCATAAACATTTCCTATGTGCAACTAAGGGTTCAAAGAGAGAAAAAAAAGTGGTGAATTATAGATTTTCAACATATTAAACTGCTACATAAATATATTTATATGTTTTACTATTATATAAGAAAGTTACTTAAAGAAGAATTTAAAAAGTCAAATGTCTACTCCAAAATAACACTATGTAAATAATTTTGGTCCAAAGATAACTATTGTGGAAGAATTAACATGGCATGCTACAGTTTTTGTTACGTAAAAAGTTGAAAACTGGAATGAAAGAAATGCAAATAAATGGAAGCAAAATAAAGATGGAGAAGAAAGAGCAGATTTGGAGAAAGATCATGAATTCATGTTTTGTTTTGTTTTTGTTTTTTTCCACTGTGTAACTCACTTCAGTGCCTGCAGCCTACAGGTAAAGGCCAGGCAACGGTTCAAGGCCACAGTTTGCTCTGGCATAGGGCACTATGAGAGACCCAAGGGGAACGGACCTGCCATAAAACCAAACCCATTCATGATAAATTCATGTTTTAACAAAAGTTGCAAACTGATGGTACCTACAAGCCGAATTCAAACTTAGACACTATGTTTTGGCCTGTACAGTTCCAGTGTTTTAAAATCATTTGAGCCCAGCCGGTGTGGCTCAGTGGTTGAGCATCAACCCATGCACTGAGAGGTCACTGGTTTGATTCGCGGTCAGGACACATGCCTGGGTTCTGGGCCCAAATCCCAGTGGGGGGCACGCAGGAGGCGGCCAATCTATGTTCTCTCTCATCGATGTTTCTATTTCTCTCTTTCTCTCCCTTCCTCTCTCTCTAAAATCAATAAAGAAAAAAAAAAAAAGACATTTTAAAAAAAATAAAATCATCTGAATTAGTTGCCAATATTTTTAACCATAGATGTCACATAAAAATTACTATTTCTCCTACTTTATTCCAATTGTCACACACAATTAGCATACTTCATTTCTACACATTTACCTGCCTAGTACCTCTGGAACTCTTGAGTTGGCAGATCCAAATTTTTATGTGCTCCAAATTTCAAGTGCCTGTCATGTTACCTATGAAAGTGAAGCTCTTCGGGGTCACAACAATATTTTATCTTTGTATCCCCTGTACTATAATCAATACCTGGCATATAGTAGATGCTTAATAAATTATAACTTTGATTTTTTTTAAATGCAGGCTATCCAACTGGAAATGTCCCATAAGCAAGTAGAAATAATTTTTTTTTAACTTTTTTCAATCCTCACCCACAGACATGTTTATTGATTTCAGAGAGAGAGGAAGGGAGAGAGAGAGAAAAAAAAACACTGATGTGAGAGAGTAACATTAACAGTATGTGCCGACCAGGGATCAAAGCCACAACCTAGGTATGTACCCTGACCGTAAAATGAACCTGCCATCTTTTGGTTTACAGGATGACGCTCCAACCAACTTGAGCCAGGGCGCAAGTGGAAATAATTTGATATAGTTTGGGTTACAGGAGAGAGAGTGGAAATGCCAGTCTGAGAATATTAATATATGGGAAGCTGATGAAGCCAAGTAATTGGTTAAGAAAATACACATAAATTTGTAATGTGGAAAAGAAAGGGGGACATTAAAGGAAACATGGGAACACTTTCATTTAAAAGTCAGGTAGAGAAAAAAGAATCAGTGAAAACACTGAGAACAGCAATCTGAAAAACCAACAGAGAGCAGAGACACTGAGGTCACAAAAGCTAACAGAAGAAAACACTTTAAAATATTCATAGCATCAAGATGAAAGAGAAACCAGAGAGGCTAGAGCCTTTTTAAGAAGACATTTAGCAATCAGATCATTGTTGCTCTATTTGAGAATTTATAAAGATCTAAGTACCATGTCATCTTCCTAAGTAACTTCCTACTCGCCATACTACATATAATGTAAAACTATACAAGGTACAAACAATTAAAAAAAGTTGATGGAGCCCTGGCCAGTCTGGCTCAGCGGTTAAAGCGTCGGCTTGCGGTCTGGAGAGACCCGGGTTCGGTTCCCGCTAAGGGCACGTACTTCGGTTGCAGTTTGTCCCCGGCCCTGGTTGGTCGTGCGGGTGGCAGCTACTCGATGTTTCTCTCTCTCTCTCCCTTCCTCTCTCTCCCTCCCACTCTATCTGTACAAAAAAATGGAAAAATATCCTCGGATGAGGATAAAAAAAAAAAAAAAAAAGTTGATGGATATAAAGATACATAGCCATATCACTACCCCTCTTTATGGAAGTTTTACCAGATATACTCAAAAATAAATTCTGAAAACAGTAGAAAAACAGTGTTAAGAAAAACAACATGTAATACATAAAATAATTACGTGAAAGGTGTTATCTCAAAAGCTTCTTTAATATCAAATACTTACCTGACACATTTGTTTCTCAATTTTGTCCAGTAAGAGTCTTGGAACATTGATAGCAACATTAGTTCCATCTAAAGTATATTGGTTAACAAGACTAAGAACCGAACTAACTATTTCTCTCTCTTTTTCCAAAAACAGGAGTGTTTCATTCACTGAAGCCCACAAAGACCGAACCTTTGAAAACAGAAACAAAATATTAAAAGTCTATATGTAATCTGTACATAATTAAAGAAATGTAAAATACAAATATATGCTCACTCCCAAGAACAAATGCAGCATTCCTGAAATGGCTTCTGGTGAGAAAATTAACTAACTGTATTTTAATAGTCTAAAAGCACTGGTAGTAGTCCGGCCGGTGTGGCTCAGTGGTTGAGACCCATGCACCAAGAGGTCGCTGGTTCAATTTCCAGTCAGGACACATGCCAAGGTCATGGGCCCAGTCCCCAGTGGTGAGCATGCAGGAGGCGGCCAATCAATGTTCTCCCTCATTGATGTTTCTCTCTCTCTCCCTCTCACTTCCTCTCTCTCTAAAATCAATAAAAGAAAATTTTTTAAATAAAAATAAATAAATAAAAGCACTGGTAGTACTTCCAATGGGGCACTACTTATTTTTTAGATAGAAAATATTTATTAAGCTCTTTAATAAATTATGTGTACAAAGCTTTTAGGAAAGAGAGCATTTTGTAATGAATATATATTTAGATATCTTTAAGTTGTATTTTTAATGCTGACTCCTAAAGTGTCATCTTTTTTCAAGAACTAGAGGTTTATAACTCTTGTATATAGTAAACCAGAAAATGTTTACTAACCCTGTTATTGCCAAGCATCTCAAAGGAAGAAGGAATTCAACATGGGCATATTTCAGGCAAAATGCCCCAAAATTCAACAAAAATGAAATAATTTGAAATTTGATTCCAATTAAATTACTTCCTTCTATTTATTCATTCGTTTAACATTCTCAAAGGGTTGTCAGTAAATACTCTAAATATCTCTGACACTCTTTTAATGCTCACTTGTCATTAGAATAATCCTAAAATCCCAACATACATGCAATACAGCATGCAGCTGGTATCTTTTCTTGAGGCAAATTCAAGTGTTCTGGCAAACAATAATAAAGTATCTCCAACAGGGCTTTAAAATTAAAAAATTTCTCAGGATACTCTAGTCCACTCTGATTTTCAAAACAAATCTAATACTAATATTTCCTGTATTCTGATATGCCAGCAATCTAATAAAGATTTTTCAGCAAGAAAAAATAAAATATTTTCATGAGAGATAAAAGAAAAAAAACTACACATTAATCATAAGAGTCATTCAAGTTTCAAAAACTTAACAGGTAAAAAAAAAAACACCATGCTTCTTTAAAGGCATCAAAAACTTCAGTCAACCTAAATGTCTGCATAGAGTAAAATGAGTGCACTGTGCTATATTCACAGAATAGAACACTATACAGCAATGAGAATGAACACACAGCAACTATACACACTAAAGCATGAATAAAACAGCATGAGAAAAATAAGTCAAACACGAAAGAATATATTCTATATACTCCAATTTATGTAAATTTCAAAAACTAATCTTTAGTGTAAGAAGGGAAATGATGGTAAATGAAAGGGACCTTGAGGCTTCTGGGAAGCTGGATGATGGTTACATGGAGGTGTCACTCTGTGGAATTTTTCAAGCTATACATTTATGATTTTTACACTTTTTTGTATGTTATTCCTCAACGTGATTTACAAAAGTGAGAGAGAGGTGGGGAAATACAATAATTATACCTATGCTGATGTCTGACCTCCCATGGTACAAGGTAAAGTTTTCCCCAAAAGAAGACTTCTTGGTGGGCAGTCTAGAGGTTTTACAGGACAGCATTTCCTTGGTGCACTTACACAGATCCAGTCTAGACATTTTATCTTGTAATTGGCTCAAAGTTGAAACTGAACAACATTAAACGAACTCAGAAACAACTGCTGTGAACACTTTAACAGGTTTCACACTAACCTATTAAATTTACAGATACTACGTTCAGTAATAAGAATATTCACATTCACTAAGCTAGAAGCACCATGAAAAAAGTGACTTTGCTGGTTTTGTCATTGCTATAGAAGTTCTGCTATCTAGAAGAACACCTGGCACATGTCAGATGATCAATAAATATTCACTGAATAAATGAACAATTATTTCCTGAGGATGGCATTCACCTTTTCCAGTGACAAAGTGCTTAAGAAGCCAAATTAATACACAAAGCAGTGTGGTCATTACATAATCAGAACAAGAGCTTAAAGACAGATGTCATCTAAACACAGAGGCCTAAGAAAACACTCCTATGCCACATCAAAGCCAACCTCTAAGCCTCAGACCATTTATGTCTGCAGATTACTCTGTACTACCATGCCAGCCTCAATTTAACATCTCATTTTTCTTCCATAATTACCATCTCCCTTCAGTTATTTTATTTTGATAAATTAATACTACTGATTAAGTTACAATCAAACTGAACTTTTCTTGCTGGCGTGAAAGACTTTAAATTAACCATACTTAAAGTCGTTTTTGTATATATTTAGTTTTATAAGTTATAAATGATTTTCCCATCACACTCAAGTATTTTAAAGGCACCCTATTGATACCTTTACATATATAACATTTATGATGAGTAAAAAAGTATGACAAAAATAGTCAAATTAAGTAAGCAAACATTGCCTATCAGAAAAGTAAGAAAGATTACATTTCTCTCTTCAAGATATACCAGAGAATTTATATGCATAACCAGTGGACATAGACAACATACTGTAGTAGGGGGAGGGAGTGGGAAAGAGAGTGTCAATGGGGGAAAAAGGAGAAACATCTGTAACAAAAATAAATAAATTAAAAAAATAAAATAAAATAAAAAGGTTGTCTCACCTTTTGAATTTTCTCTTGTATATCACTTTGGTCATCATAAGGTTCCATTCTAGTTAAAAATTAAAAATTAGTCATTTTATTTTTTTAACTTTATTTTTATTGTTGACACTATTACATATGTCCCCATTTTCCCCTCCTTTCTCCCCCTCGACCCAGCCCTAGTCCCCCTTCCTTGTGGCCATCACCACTGTTGTCTATGTCTATGGGTAATGCATATATATTCTTTGGCTAATCCCTTCACCTTATTTCATCCAGTCCCCCACTCCTCTAGCCCCTCTAACAGCTATCAATCTGTTCCATATATCCATGCTTCTGTTTCTATTTTGTTCATCAGTTTATTTTGTTCATTATATTCCACATGCAAGTGAAATCATATAGTATTTGTCTTTCTCTGACAGGTTTATTTCATTTACCAAATTAATCCCCAAGTCCGTAAGTCATTTTAATAATCACGTGGTAATTTACTATCCAAAGAGCTAACTGATCTGCAAACCCACCCACTAACAACCATTCCAATTAAGGCAAAAATAAAATTCTAGCTCAAAGCAATAATGTATTAGAAGAACTGGTCTAGGAACCAGAACTATATTCTATACCTATCATCAACTAACTACTGATATATTATTTATGTTTCCGGGGCTTTCAGTTTCCTTACCTGTAAAATGCAGGAGCCAAACTAATACATAAGGCAACTTTCAACATTAAAACTTACTTTTTTATTTGGTTTTGCAGTCCTATACATTCTGATTTCAAATTTCGTACTTCTTTATCTAATAATCTGTAAGAAAACATACAAAATGACAATTATACAGATGCTCCTTTACTTAAGATGGGGTTACAGCCCAATAAACCCATCATCACAAGTTGAAAATATCATAAGTTGAAAATACACTTAATACACCTAACCTACTGAACATCATAGCTTTGAACAGCCTACCTCAAATGTGCTCAGAATACTTACATTAGCCTACACTTGGGCAATTGTCTTGAGTTTTATCTCTAGAGTAACTGCCTTACCCTACTTTTTAACAGAAACAAGAGATACAGATGGGAACTTTGTAGACATGATGGGATGTGAAAACATAAAAACACAACATCCAAAAAACACTGGCAACACAGTTAAGTGCTGCAGTTGTCTGTTGATCATGTGCCTGAAGGGGACTGTGGCTCAATGCCACCAGCAGTATCAAGAGAATCATACTGCGTATCACTAACCCATGAAAAGATAAAAATTCAAAACTCAAAGTACAATTTCTAGTGAATGCATATTGTTTTCCACCATGATAAAGTCAAAAAATTTTAAGTCCAACCACTGTAAGTCAGGGATCCTCCATAATTCCATTATAATTAAACAGTACAGTTATTTTAACATTTTCTCCCTTTTAGATCTTTGCTCAGGGCCTCTGAGTACTACACTTCCAAATACAACAACAGGCAGCTAAAGGACTCTACTCTCCCTTTTAGAGATACAGATTTAACATATAGGCTGCTGTTGAGATGGATCAAGGACTTTGAGGCTAGTATACTCTCTGTCTTCAAATAAAAATGTTGGAGGTCAATAAAACTACTCTGCTCTCTTATCCTTGTCTCACAGTCCTAGGGGATAAATTTCAATGTTATCTAAGACAGTCAAGCAACACTGCACATTTAAGGTAGTATCAAAAGATTTTGTAGTGATATTCCAAGATGGCAGCAGAGTGAATGGAAGCTACACAGACCATCTCCCAGGACTAAAATGGAATTACAAATAAAATAAAGACAAACTGGTAGGAAAAAAGCAACAGAAAAGAGGCTGGAGAGGACCCATATAACTAGGAACAGAAAAAGGACACTAAATCAAGCCTGGTAGGAACTGTGGAAGCCTGAGAGGGCAGGCTGGAAGCCCACAGGCACCTGTTTTATCTGTGAGCAGCTCCCTTGGGGTTAACATCCCAAGCAAGCTTCACAATGCAGAGGGCTGGGACAAAGCACTAAATTAACTACAGCCATTCACCTTGGGCTATGGCAAAGGGAGGGCAGACTGGACTGCAACTGTGTGGAGAGACTTGGGAGCATGGAGAGCTGGGAGGGCAAAGGGAGTTTTGTGCTGAAACAATCCCTCACAGGACAGTAGCCATCTTACTCAAAGAGCCCCTTCCCAGAGCCCTGGAAAGAAGCAACAGCCCCTCCCTCGTGAATTTAACACCACCTGGCCACACCAGAGAAATGCAAATTGAAGCTCATTAACAGCCAGCGAGTATCTACCCCACCCCCTGGAAATCCTCTTATCCTGAACACTTGGGGAATTTTTTTTCATTCATTTGAGGGCTACAACCCAAGGGTGTTATCAAGTAACTGGGACTAATAGCCTACAGGCAAAAAGCTAGAGAATAACTGAATCTTTCCTGGGCTTGCAAATCCACCCAGGAAAATAAGACCTGACAGGGCTGTTTAATGTGGGTCCTCCCACACTCATCCCAACCCAGGGAGCCACAACCAGAAGAACACCAACACCCACAGAGAAAATTTGGCAAGCTCCAAAACCCACAGAGATAGCCAAAATGGTGAAACAAAGAAACAGATCCCAAATAAAAGAACAAGAGAACTCTACCGAAGAAGAGATACATGAAATGCAGTTAAGCAGTTATCAGAGGTAGAATTCAGAGTGATGATAATGAGGAAGCTCAACAGCATGAGTAAAGAGTTCAAGAACATGAATAAAGATATAGAAACACTGAAAGTCAACCAACTGAAAATGAAAAACCACCAAGCAGAAATGAAGAATAACATAGCAGAAATAAAGAGCACATTGGATGGAATAACCAGCACAGTAGAAGAAGCCAAGGACCAGATCAGGGAATTAGAAGACAGGGTAGAAAAACGCACCCAATCAGAGAACCAAAGAGGAAAAAAACAGGAAAAAAGTTTAAGAGAACTATGGGACAATATATGTTAACAACATCCACATCATAGGAGTTACAGATGAAAACGAAAATGAGCAAGGGTTAGAAAATATGTCTGAGGAAATGGTGACAGAAAATTTCCCTAACTTGGTGAAAAAAAAGGCATTCAAGTTCAAGAAGCACAGAGAGCCCCAAGAAAGAACCCAAACAGGCCCACACCAAGACACATAATAATTAAAATGCCAAAAATGAGAGACAAAGAGAGAATCCTAAAGGCAGCAAGAGATAAGCAACAGGTAACCTACAAAGGAAGCCCCATAAGGCTATGAGCTGACTTCTCAACAGAAATACTATAGGCCAGAAGAAAATGGCATGAAGTAATCAAGGTAATGAAAAACAAGGATCTGAATCCAAGATTATTCTATCCAGCAAAGCTATCATTCAAAATAGAAGGTAAAATAAAGACCTTCCCAGACAAAAAAAAAAAAGCTAAGGGAATATATTAGCACCAAACTAGTACTGCAAGAAATGTTAAAAGGACTGCTATAATTAGTAGACAAAACAGGAAGAAAAATATAACCACAATAAATTAAAATGGCAATAAATAAGTACATATCAATAATAACCTTAAATGTAATCGATTAAACACTCCAATCAAAAAACACAGAGTAGCCCTGGCCAGTTTGGCTCAGCGGTTAAAGTGTCGGCCTGCGGTCCAGAGAAACCTGGGTTCGGTTCCCACTAAGGGCATACCTCAGTTGCAGTTTGTCCCCAGCCCTGGTTGGGTCATGCAGGTGGCAACCACTCAATGTGTCCCTTTCACATCAATGTTTCTCTCTCTCTTCCTCTCTCTCCCTCCCACTCTATCTGAACAAAGAACAAATGTCCTCAGGTGAGGATAAAAAAAAAAAAAAAGAAACAGAGTAGCTGATTGGATAAGAAATCATGACTCATATACAGGTTTACGAGAGACCCACCTCACACCAAAAGATTCACATAGGTTGAATGTGGAGGGATGGAAGAAATCTTCCAAGCAAATGGAAAAAAAAAGCTGGGGTACCAGTACTCATGTCCAATAAAATAGACTTCAAAATGAAGACCATAACTAGAGACAAAAAAGGCCACTATATAATATGAAAAGGATCTACCCAACAGAAAGATAAAACCTTGGTAAACATATATGCACCCAATATAGGAGCATCAAAATGTATTTTAAAACTTATGGAGGACTTCAAAGGAGAACTCGACAGCAATACAATCATAACAGGGGACTTCAATATCCCGCTGACATCATTGCATAGATCTTCTAGACAAAAAATTAACAATGAAACAGAGACTCTAAATGATACACTAGATCAAATAGATTTAATACTTATTACAGAGAATTATACCCCAAAACTGAAGAATTCACATTCTGATCAAGTGCACAAGAGACATACTCAAAGATAGACCATGTTAGGACACAAACTATGTCTCTACAAGTTCAAAAAGATTGAAATCATACCAAGCATCTTCTCAGATCACAATGGCATGAAACCAGAAATCAATTACAGCAAAAACATTCAAACACATCAAGGCTAAATGGCATGTTATTAAACAATGAATGGGTTACCAAGGAGATCAATGAAAAAATTAAAAACTTCCTAGAAACCAATGAAAATGAACACACATCAACACAAAATCTATGGGACGCAGCAAAAGCAGTCCTATGAAGGAAGTTCATAGCACTACAGGCATACCTCAAGAAACAAAACAAATTTCTACTTGACAATTTAACCTCACAACATAAAGAACTACAATGCAAACAAAAAGGAAAAACCCAGAGCAAGTAGAAAGAAAGAAATAGTAAAGATCAGATCAGAAATAAACAACATAGAGACTAAAGAGAAAAACAATTCAAAAGATCAATGAAACAAAGAGCTGGTTCTTTGAAAAGATAAACAAGCCCTGGCCAGTTTGGCTCAGCAATTACAGCGTCAGTCTGTGGACCAGAGAGTACCCGGTCCGGTTCCCACTAAGAGCACGTATCTCAGTTGCACTTAGTCCCCGGCCCCGGTTGGCATCACGTAGGTGGCAACCACTCGATGTGTCTCTATCACATCGATGTTTCTCTCTCTTTATCCCTCCCACTCTCCCTCCCGCTCTATCTGAAAAAATAAATAAATAAAAAACTAAACAAGGTGGATGGACCCTTAGCTACACTCACCAAGAAACAAAGAGAGAGGACCCAAATAAACAAAATCAGAAAACAAAAAGGAGAAGTAACAACTGACACCACAGAGATACAAAGGATCATTAACAAATACTATGAACAATTATATACCAACAAATTGGACAATCTAGGTGAAATGGATAAATTTGAAGAAACACATAGTCTCCCAAAACTGAACCGGGAAGAGAGAGAGAAAACTTGAACAGACCAATAACAACTAAGGAATTTGAAGATGTAATCAAGAATCTCCCAGCAATAGATGTTCTCTTTCATCGATGTTTCTAACTCTCTCTCCCTCTCCATTCCTCTCTCCCTAAAATCTATAAAGAAAAATTTCTTTAAAAAAGCACTAACCAGTACTGTTCAGCAGTAAGAGTGTCGCCCACAGACCAAAGAGTCCCAGGTTCAATTCCAGCCAAGGGCATGTAACTTGTTTGCAGTTCATCCCAAGTCCCGGTTGGGGTTGTGAGGGTGGCAGCCAATTGATGTGTCTCTCTCACATTAATGTTTCTCTCTCCTTATCTCTTCTTCCCTCCCTCCATCCCTCCCTCCAGCTCCATCTGAAGATTAATGTAAAAATATCCTCAGCTGAAGATTAAAAAAAAAAAAAAAAAAAAAAAAAACCCCTGGCCGGTTTGGTTCAGTGGTTAGAGCGTCAGCCTGCGGTCCTGAGAGCCCAGGTTT